TCCGGGAAGAAGTGGCATTTGAGCTGAGCCTTGAAGGAAGGTAGGATTTTTGATGAACAGAGAGAACAGGAAAGGCTTTATATGAGAAGTGTTCAGCTTAAGCAGAAGCCCAGAGATAAGAGGACACAGGGTATTCAGAGATGAGCGAGAATTTGAGTTAAATTGCAAGAGTCTGTCATAGAGGAGAAGTGGTAGGTGAGAAGTGGGTCTGGAAAGACTGAATTTTGAAGCATGATACTATCAGGCTTAGGAGTTGGGAGGAGTTGGGAGTTTCTTGTTTCTTGTCAGGAGTTGGGAGTTTCTGCCAATAGCAATGGGAGTGATTGAAGGTCTTAGAACAGAGGAGTGACAGGATTGTGTCTTCTTGATTGGACTTTTTAAATAGTACCCTTGTAGAAGCGTACTATGGAGATTGTGAGATGGGGTGGCGGAGGAGAGGGTAGAGATGGCTCAGTGAGGAGGTTTGGAAAAGAGTGGAAAATAAGCACTTGATGGGACTGGAAAGAGACATTGCAAAGAGAGACTCTGGCAACTGGTTGGATTTAGGAGGCGAGGCCAATGGGTGAACTAGAGATGATACTGAGATCGGAGAGTGGTTACTGGAGGGCTGGCGGTGCCATGCAGAGAGGGGCGTAAGAAGGGAGGATCAGCTCCAGAGCAGCGGATGACCGGTCCAGCCTGGGATATTCAGACACCCAGGAAAGGCGCCTGGGACGAGATGTCCTTAGAGCATGGCATCAGGGCCGGCATTGACGCAAGAGCTGTGATATGAGGACCATCAGCAGGGAGGTGCCAGGTGAGGCTCCGCGAGGGGGTGTAGTGAGGGACGGCAGGGAGTGGGCAGCCGAGCTCAGAAACTCGGGGCTCTGGGGAAATGGCCATGTGAAGAAGGTAAGGAAGGGACCTCCTGGTGGTCCAGTGGCTAAGACTGCACTTCCAATGCAGAAGCCTGGACTCCATCCCTGGTCAGTGAACTAGACCTCACATGCCACAACTGAAAATGGTCTCTCACGCTGCAACGAACACCCAATGTGGCCAAATTAAAAAAAAAAAAAAAAGGATAGGAAATCCTGAGGGTTTCCTGTCCCAGAAGCCAAGAGATTTCCTGACAAATGCTGAACTGGTCAAGGATGAGGACTGGGCCTGGGCTGCTGAGGAGGTGGTCCCCGGGTCCATCCTGAGGCTCCGGTGGGTGGAGAGAGAGGAGGGGTGGAAGGCAGATCAGAAGCTGGTGAAGGTGAGTGGGTGGTGAGGAAGTGTAGGCATGAGGGTATTTCCTGGAGAGCTTTTAAAAATAGGACAGGGGCCCCTTGTTTGGTGCTGGAGAAGGCCTCCTGTCTGGGACCCAGGAGATGGATGCCAGAGGCCAAGAGGAACCCCAAACTGAGATCTCTTGTGGGTGTTTGTGATATGGTTTTCCTCCAAAGCCAGAAGATGTGGCGCGTTCGATCGCTGGAGGCAGGGAGCAGCTGGTGTTTGACATCAGGAGGCCCTCCTTCAACTGACCCAGTGTGTGTTACCCCAAAGGGGTAAAGCACTGGCTTGGTGGTTGCTAGACTGTTCCCGAGCCTGGTTTTAGGGACCAACCTGGGGTGACCAGGAAGCTCTGTTCTTCAGAGACTCTGATAGAGGTGCATGGAAAATAAACAAAGGGATGTGTCAGCTTCCACCAGCCCTTTTATATTCCCCAGGAGGAAAAATTCTGTCCTTTTGTAGATAGATGAGGTTCATTGATCTTTACTCAGGAGAAGCTGTCATAAAAAGCCCAAGCGTGGGACCTTGCCCAGGATGCCTGATTATCCTGGTTTGGGGAGAGCAGGAACATCACTGCCAGCCATGGGAATGTCCTCCTGGACCGGCCCAGCCATTCCCAGCCCCAGAATGCTCTCCCTGACCCCCCCATGACAGCTGAGCCCCCAGGACACTGCCAGATCGGCTTGTGTGAGGTTTAAAATCATATACCCTGACTTTGACTAGCTTCTGGCAGGAGAAACATCCAGAGTCTGGATTTGGGGCCTGTGGATAAGTCACTTGTTACCAAGGGAGGTTAGTGCATCTCCATCACCATTTTAGGAAGGAGGTCTCTTTCACTGTTACATGTTGTAGCTATTTATAGAGTCCTGCAGCCAGTATCTCTTTCAGTCTGCAGGAATTCTCCACGTGTGTTATCTTAGAGGGTCTCAATGCACTGCTGCCCACCACGAAGGACACAGCTGGCAGGGGAGGGCAAGCAACGGTAGGACTTTGACTCCAGCTCGGTCCAGCACCGGGGATCCTGAATCTGGCAAGGAGAGGCAGAAAGAAACAAGTGCAGTTTATCATTTATTGGCACTTCCTGAAAGTCTAGAGGTGACAGCATCAAATATCCAGAGCTAGGGATACCTCACTGCAGTGTCCTAACCACTTCTTCCCCTAGTGACCCCAGCTCCGGTTCTGGTCTTTGCTTTCCGTGTATTTCCCAGGCCTTTCTGTCTCCCAATGACGTGTTCCCAGTCTTTGACCCAACAAGCAAAGTTTCTGTGGCTTGCAACTCAGAACCCTGACCCAGTGAGGTACAGTTAAGAGATAATCGGGACCCAGGAAATGAGCTCCACTGGACCCAAGAGGCCAGCACTGAGTAAAAGTCACTCTCCTGCCAGGATCTCAGAATGTCAACCTTTTAGTGGGCGAGACAGTGAAGAAACAAATGTTTACACATAAACACACATGTGTATATACATCAGATGGTGAGAGGAGAAAAATAAAGTACTGCAAAAGAGAGAAAGTTGAAAGGGCTCTGTTTCAGACAGGGAGGAGAAGGAAGCCTGGTTGGAGGAGGCAGGGCTGACTGGAGACCTGAGTGCAAGCGCGCTGCTGAGGCAGATACCGGGGGGAAAGCCTTACAGTCAAGGGAACCCCAAGTACAAAGGGCCTGAGGCCAAAAGAAAAAGCGCCATCTCTCTCTCCCTCCCCCTGCAGAGCTTCCCGAGAGCAGGGATTCAGTCTATTTTGCTCATTGCTGTACCCACTGTTTCCAGAACACGTCTGGGCTCGTGAGTATTTGCTAGTTGAACGGAGAACGAGCGAGCATCCGGCTGGCAGCGAGTCAGGGTCTGGCTAGTCACCGCAGCCCTTCCGGTGAGCCTCCCACGGAGGGGCAGAGCGGAAAAGACAGTTGGGGGCAGCTCTAGGACAAGGGCAACCTGGCGGGGACAGGATGGGTTACCTTAGCCATCTCCGGATGTCAGGAGGATGAAATTACTTACTGTCTGTAAAGTTCTTAGCAACGCGCGCAGAGTGTGCTCTAAAAGTTGGCTATTGTTAATACTACTCCTCTTCCCAATCAATAATAAACCAAAAACCTATGTGTCTATGCCCTCTTGGACTCAGTCTATTGTTTCTTCGTATTGAATTTATAAATTGCTGATCAAATATTCATGTTGTTTATCTGCCAAGGAGCAGTTACAGGCAGCCTCATTTACGATACTATTGTTATTGTTGTTTAGCCACTAAGCCGTGTCTGACTCTTTAGCGACCCCGTGGGCTGTAGCCTGCCAGTCTCCTCTGTGGGATTTCCCAGGTAAGGGTACTGGAGTGGGCTGGAGTGGGTAGCCACTTCCTCCTCCAGGGGATCTTCCTAATTCTGGGATCAAACCTGTGTATCCTGCATCTCCTGCATTGGCAGGCGGATTCTCTACCACTGAGCCTCCAGGGAAGCCTACAATACTGTTACCCTGTTGTTTATCTGGCGGAAGCCTTCTCTCGATCCCCTTTTCCTTGATGCATGATTAAGGGGGTGGTCTCTGGCCCCCCAGGCACTTGTTGATTCCTTTGGGGGAAGGGAAATAGAATCCACCATGGAGTTTCCTCAGTGAGGGACCTGTCCCATCTCCATGCCCCAACCCGTTAAAGCTAGGGATCAGATGGGGGCAATGATCACAGGCATGGAGCCTTGTGGGCTCATGGCTCCAGCTCTGGGGTCCCCCTGCCCCTCCTCCTCTCTCCCCCTTGCCCTAACTGTCTTGGCTTCTCATTTGCACCCGGCCCCTGCCCTGACCTTCTCTCGGCCTGTGGCACTACTCCCCAAGGAGAAAACTCCACCCGGCACCGTGTATGACAGTCCACCTTGTTTACCGCACCTTCGGCCAGCGGGAAATGAGGTCGAATGAAACGGAACTCCCGGCCGATGTCCAGCACCTCCTTTCCCTCTGTCAGACACCCCGCTGACCCTCGAGTGAACTGACTCTGCAGCCTTCTCCTGTCTTGACAACCAGTCGGCTTTCCCGGCCCAGGAGGTGTGACCTTTCACGAACATGATCCCCGGGGCAGGCTCAGGGGAGCACCTTCCTCCTAGTGTCCCCTTCAACCCAAGAGCTAGAGCCAGGTCTCCAGGCAGAAGTGGTGCATTTAGATATCACATCCTAGATTAACCAGCAGGTTCTCCCCTGATGAGGACTCTGTATGCATTGCATGTGGGCATTTAAATTGGTGTAATAGCCTTTGGGAGGGCTATTTGGCAATATGTATAAAAAGCCTTAAACATATAGATTCCTCTGACTCAGTAATTCCACCCCTGGGAGTTTATCCTGAGAAAATACTCAGAGATGCAGCCAAAAATGTATGTATAAGAATGTTTACTGTAGTGCTAGTTATAATAGTAACAAAAAAAAAAAATTCAGAAAGAATCCACAGGGACTGTGATAAATAATTTATGATACTTTCCTACAGAGGAATACTAGGCATTCTGATTTTGAAAGTGTACTTAAAGCATATATGATGATACGGATTGTGGCTTCTCTCCTTTTTTTTTCTGATTCTCTCCTTTTGCCCTCCGCATCACTCTGCACCCGCCAGGCGGCCTGCCCTTGGCCTCCCTCTGGGTTTGTGCGGTGTGGGCACAGCAGGAGGAAAGTGAAGGCAGGGCTCTGACTCCCGGGCTGCTTCCACTGGGCCGGGCGGCTCCTCCCACCCCTCCCGCCCGCTCTGCTCCAGGCCCCTGACCGCCCCTCCTGCAGGCTTACCCGGAGGGCCTCTTCTTGGTGCTCCGTCCAGGTCAGCATGCCTCCGAGTTCCTTCACCAGTCTTTGGGAGGTCAGAGCGAAACCTGTTTCCCGGAGGACCCGCACTGGACAGTGCAGAAAAGGAGATGCTGACAACGGGAGGCTAGGGAGCCGGTCAGGCCCGAAAGCAGCACGATCCCAACTTTGTGCACAGAATAAGTATGTTCAGAAAAGGAAACCATATCTGCACTTAGCAGGGAATAAAGGACTGGAAGGAAATATATCCATGATTAACCGTCTTCACCTCTGGTGCTGTGATTGTAGGTGATTTTTCTGGTCTCACATATCCATTTCTGTATTTTGTACCTTCTTGAAAATAGTCATGCATCGCCATTAAAGTGGGAAAAATGTTGAGTTAACCTACATTTAAAAACAAAACTGAGATTTCCCTGGTGGTTCAGTGTCTAAGACTCTGTGCTCCCAGTACAGAAGGCTGAGGTTCGATCCCTGGTCGGGGAAGTAGATCCCACAAGGTTTAAGATTCTGCACACTCCAACTAAGACCCAGTACAGCCAAAGAAATTTTAAAAATATATATATTTTTGAAAAGACTGAGATTTTAAAATATAAAAATAAAACAAAATTGAAATAAAGTAGAAGAATTAACTAGTTGCTGGTCAGTTACTTACCAGTATACAGAAGACAATAGATTTTAACTAAATGTATGATAATGTGATTTAAAAGAAATGTAAACATCTCAGGGTGAATTGAAACTAGGCCTTGACTGTTTCCATCCCACCCGGTCTGAAGCTGAGATTCTTGTCTGATGCTGAGCTGTGGTCCTGGTTAACGTAGCTCCTTGCTGGGGTTGGGCTCTCCCATACACCCTGTTCTGGCTCTGCCCTCGGCCTTGCCTCCTGGGGTGCTGCCGGGGGTCTGGGGGAGGCCCCAAGGATCAAGCTGAAAATGAGATCACAGCAACTTAATACTTTGGCACATCCCAAAATGTTTCCTTAAATATTGTTCCACATTCATTTAGAAGGGAGAAATTCCGATTTTCTATTAGCAAAGCTCATATGCCTCCACGTTCTAAGTAAGGGATTTATTTAACACCAGACATAGCATTACATTTTGGCTTATTTGCAATGGTCTTCCTTTCCCAGTTTCTCCAGCACTCCTAACTAAAAAGAGTTTAGCTGTTTGTCCACTTGGGTGGCTCAGTGGTAAAGAATCTGCCTGGCAATGCAGGAGATGTGGGTTTATCCCTGCAAGTGGTAACCCACTCTAGTATTCTTGCCTGGAAATCACAGGGACAGAGGAGCCTGGTGGGCTACAGTCCAGGGGGGTCACAAAAGAGTTGGACTTGACTTAGCAACTAAGCAACAATAACTTATCCACTTAGGATAGAAGTAACACATACAGAGATATGGTTACAATAACTTGTTCAACATTTTTAAAAGTTGATTTTTGGTTTTTTTTTTTTTGTAAAGGGTGGTGGTAGAATGGGAATTTCATATGGGCAAAACTTTTTAGTAAAGCTTGATTTTGTTCAGATTTCTTTCCTAGTTTCTAAATCAGATGGTTTCTTTAGAAACATGCTATGGGGGTTACATTTTAAAGGAAGTAAAATTAATTGCTTATACATAGTAAAGCTCCCCCTTGCAGGACTTACTTTTAGAGTTTCAGCTAGTAGAGCCTTGGCCTTGAGGAAGCATTCAGCTGACTGGTCTCAGATTAAGAGGTGCAGACTCAAATAGCACCAGGCAACTTGCTTGAGCTAGTTACAAAAATAAGAAATAGTCAACCCTGGTGATTCAGACAGTAAAGAACCTGTCTGCAATTCAGGAGACCTGGGTTCAATCCCTGGGTCAGAAATATCCCCTGGAGAAAGCAATGGCAACCCACTCCACTATTCTTGCCTAGAAAACTCCATGGATAGAGGAGGCTGGCGGGCTACAGTCCAAGGGGTCGCAAAGAGTCGGCCACTGATGAGCGACTCACAACCCTTATATAGTGACTGCTACATGCCAGGCTGGATTCTAAATGCTTCATGTGTGTCCTCAAAACCGACACCCTTGCAATCAGGAACACAGACAAACTGCCTAGGGTCTTGCACATGTAGCAGTAGAATCTGGATCCGAACTCAGACAGGTTGGCTCCAGATTTTAGGTTCTAAAGCTATCAAACCTCTCTGTGCCCTTCAGAAATGTATTTTTACAATTTTTGTTGAAATATAGTTGATTTTTAATGTTGTGTTAGTTTCAGATGTACAGTGAAGTGATTCAGTTATATATATATATATATATATACACACATATACATTTACACATACATACACATATTTATAGGGCTTCCTAGGTGGTGTTAGTGGTAAAGAACCTACTTGCCAATGCAGGAAAGATAAGAACCTCCCCTGGAGGAGGGCATGGCAGCCCATTTCAGTGTTTTTGCCTGGAGAATCCCATGGACAGAGGAGCCTGACGGGCTACAGTCCCTAGGGTCACAAAGACTAGGACAGGACTGAAGGGAACTCGTACGCACACACACACAATATATACATAGGAATGTATTTTCCATCTCCCTCAGGATGAGGTGTACTTTGACTGAAGTTTGCACTTTGACAATTATATCAAGTCATGCGTGGAAGCCGAAGCTAACTGGCTCAGTGTTTCTGATTGATTCCCGTGATCTTTTAATGCCTTTCATGAATTGGCAACTGGAACAACTGCCCAGCTCTTCTGTCCCAAATCCTGCTTCGCTGGGCATCCAAGTGTCTCTGCTTATGCTCATTGGAAGAAACATCAGACATAGTCTTTCAGGCTCAGAGCCTAGAAGAGCTGCATCCTGCAGTCCCACGAGCTTTTGGTGCCTGAAAACACTCTGCCTCCTGATTGGCTGCCAGAGGAAATAGTGTCTGAATTTTTCGGCATCCTTTGCAAGGTACAGTGGCCTCTCGATCAGGAAGAGGTTACTCCAGCAACCAAGGGCCTGCATCCTCCCTCCCAGCTCCAGAGGTGAAGGTATGCACTAATTGCCTTCATCTGCAAAACCCACGTCTCTCTGAGCAGGGTGCCCTCAGCAGGACTTTTTAAAAACCTGCCGCAGGTTAAAAAGCAGACTTGCTTTTAATTTATTAAAAGACTTGGCATTTTTTTTCCCCACTGAGCATTTTAAAATGCAATTAGATGAAATGGAATAATAAGCAAGCAAAAGTACTGAGGAGTTTTCACGTGAGTGGCCGTTTTTCTCACGCTCCTTTCCCTTTTTGGGCATTCCTGCTGGGACAGTGTGTTTGTCGTTGCAAGCCCCTTACCCATCCCCACATTCCTGCAGATCCAGGCTCTTGGGAATCAACTGCTGGGTCTTCACACAACCCTTGCCAAACATCAGGGACTCATCACCCTACACTGTGCAATGGTGTGTCTCCTGGTTTAGTGTATTTTTTCAAATTTCCCTTAAGATTAGGCTGAGCATGTGCATTTTTTATCTGTTTTAAAGATTTTTATTTTCCTACAACTTTAAAGGTCACTTCCCATTTACAGTTATTACAAAATATTGGCTATATTTCCCATGTCATACTATAGAATACATCACTGAGTCTATCTTACACCCAGCGTTTGTACCTCCATTCCCGCACCCCTATATTGCCCCTCCCCACCACCGTAGTAGCCACTGGTTAGTTCTTTCTATCTGTGAGTCTCCTTCTTTTTTGTAACATTCACTGGTTTGTTGTATGTTTTAGATTCCACATCAAAGTGATATTATACAGCATTTATCTTTCTCTGTCTGACTAATTTCACTCAGCATAATGGCCTCCAATTCCATCCATGTTGCTACAAATGGCTAAAGTTTGTTCTTCACTTATGACTGAGTGATATCCCCTTGTACATATGTACCACATCTTTATCCATTCATCTGTTGATAGATAGTTTCCATGTCTTGACAACTTTAAATAAGAATATGTGCATTTTTAAATAAGTTCCTTACTTAGGGAACTGTGTGCCCAGCAGAGTTTGAGAACTACTGGCAACGCTGGGAGCAGGCCCACACCCACCTCTCCCGTCATCATGTCCCTTGGACTGACGCAGTGTCGGGGAACACGGTGGATGTTACCCGAATGAGTGAATGAATGAAGTTTCACGAGACATGTTATAGGATTTTCTGAAAACAAAAAGCAAAAACCGTCTCCCCTCACTCACCAATGACAGTGGTCAAGGGAATGGGAAGTGGGGGGAAGTCAGGAGCCTCACACACTACGTATTGTTAGCAGGTTCAAGCACATACAGGACACAGGGGTTGTGGTGTAATCACACGCACGCGTGAAGGGGAACCTCATGCCCATTAAATACCACTGGGCCCTTGAAGTGTGAAAGTGTTAGTTGCTCAGTCGCGTCAGACTTTGTGACCCATGGACTGTAGCCTGCCAGATTCCTCTGTCCTAGAATTCTCCAGGCAAGAATACTGGAGTGTGTTGCCATTCCCTTTTCCAGCGGATCTTCCTGACCCAGGGATTGAACCCAGGTCTCCTGCACTACAGGCAGATTCTTTACCATCTGAGCCATCTGGGAAACCCAGTTGGTCCCTTACCACTGGCATAACCAGAACAGCAGTCTGAGTTGGAAAGATCAGGATCCCTGCAGTGCTGACATCTTTACTATAAGTGCCAAAGAGGTGAAGAGATGTGGATCTTCTGGGCTGTGTCACAGCCTCCCTGCCCTGGCCCCAGGCTGCATCAGGTCAGTTCAGTTCAGTTCATTTCAGTCGCTCAGTCCTGTCTGACTCTTTGCGACTCCATGAATCGCAGCACGCCAGGCCCCCCTGTCCATCACAAACTCCCAGAGTTTACTCAAACTTATGCCCGTTGAGTTGGTGATGCCATCCAGCCATCTCATCCTCTGTCGTCCCCTTCTCCTCCTGCCCCCAATCCCTCCCAGCATCAGGGTCTTTTCCAGTGAGTCAACTCTTCACATGAGGTGGCCAAAGTATTGGAGTTTCAGCTTCAGCATCAGTCCTTCCAATGAACACCCAGGACTGATCTCCTTTAGGATGGACTGGTTGGATCTCCTTGAAGTTCAAGGGACTCTCAAGAGCCTTCTCCAACACCACAGTTCAAAAGCATCAATTTT